AACCTGATGTAAAATCTCTGTCATCAGTGATGCAGCAGCAGAAGTCCCACTGATAATATCAAACGGAGTCATAAAGTTTTCTGTCGGACTATCAGTGTACATGTATACATTAAAAAATAAATGTATTTTTCATCATCATATACTGTGTTTTTGTCGCTCGAATGAATTTTATTATTTCTTCAAGGTTCTTCACATATGTACACCTTAAGAGATATCAAGTAGGCGTAACATGTTCTCAAAAAATTAGGGTTGGCACGCAGAAGAATTTTGAGTCAGAGATTTTGCTGGTTTTGGCACACACTCACAAAAAGGTTGTCCACCCCTGCTCTAGGTTATTAAATTTGGTGGCATGAAGTCTTTCATAATATTCTAGTATGATCCTTTGTATATCTGTGATGTCTGTGGTAACTTCTCTCTCATTTCTGATTTTGTTTATATGGGTCTTTTCCCTTTTTTCCTTAGGGAGTCTAGCCAGAGGTTTGTCAATTTTATTGGTCTTTTCAAAGAACCAGCTTTTTATTTATTTTTTGTATATCTTTTTGTTTTCTATGTCATTTAATTCTGTTGTAATTTTTATTATTTCCTATCTTCTGCTAACTTTGGGTTGCTTTAGTTCTTCTTTTGCTAGTATTTTAAGATGTGACATTAGTTTATTTACTTGGGATTTCTCTTGTTTCTTGAGATAAGCCTGCAATGATATAAGCTCTTATTACTGCTTTCACTGCATCCCAGAGTTTTTGATAGGGTGTTATCATTCTCATTTGTCTCCATATATCTTTTGATCTCATCTTTTATTTCTTCTTTGACACAGTCATTTTTTAGTAGTATGTTGTTTAATCCCCACATATTTGCAGGTTTCTTTACTCCTTTTTGCAGGTGATTTTTAATTTCAAGGTCAGAAAATATAATTGGTATGCCCTGACCGGTTTGGCTCAGTGGATAGAGCATCAGCCTTCGGACTGAGGGGTCCCAGGTTCGGTTCAGGTCAGGGGCATGCACCTTGGTTTCGGGCACATCCCCAGTGGGAGGTGTGCAGGAGGCAGCTGATAGATGTTTCTCTCTCATCGATGTTTCTAGCTCTCTATCCCTCTCCCTTCCTCTCTGTAAAAAATCAATAAAATATATTTTTTTAAAAAGAAAATATAATTGGTATAATTTTGATCTTTTAAAATTTTTAATACTTGTTCTGTAACCCAATATATGGTCTATCCTTAAGAATGTTCCATATATGCTGGAGAAGAATGTATAGTCTGATATTCTGGGATGAAATGTTCTGTAAATGTCAATTATATCCATTTGGTCTAGTGTTTCATTTAAGGCCAATATTTCTTTATTGATTTTTTTGTTTGATTGATCTGTCTAGAGGTGTCAATGGAGAATTACGGTCTCCAACTATAATTTATTTTGACCTGTTTCTCCCTTTAGTTCTGTAAGTAGCTGTTTTATATATTTCAGTGCTCCCTGATTGGGTGCATATATACTAAGAAGTGTTAAGTTTTCTTGATGTAGTATTCCCTTTATCATTATAAAGTGTTCATCTTTGTGTCTTATTTTCTTGAAATCTGTTTTGTCAGATATAAGTATGGCTACACCTGCTTTTTTTGTGTGGATTTTTTTTTTTGGAGATTCATTTTCCACCCCTTTACTTTGAATCTACCTTAGTCTTTGCTGTTTAATATGCCTCTTGTAGGCAGCATATAGTTGGGTTTTGTTTTTTCATCCACTCTGCTACTCTGTGCCTCTTTACTGGTGAATTTAGGCCATTTACATTTAGGGTAATTATTGATGCATGAGGATTTCCTATAGCCATTTTATCTTTTGTTTTCTGGTAACTTTGTGCCACCATTGGTTCCTTTCCATTATGCTTCTGTCTGTTTGGTGGACTCCATATGTCTTTCCTCTTTTCTAAGCAATATGTCCCATTTTGGGGGCCTTTGTGTGTGGTTGCCATTAGGTTTATAAAGAGTGAAGTTGCATGCATGCCATAGTTTTTTCCCTTTTGAGTGCACCTGATCTTCATCTTCCTTTGCCAGTTCATACCTTTCCCCCTACCCCTTGTATGTTTTTGTTGTCACAAATTATCCCTATTTAGCTGCAAGTTTTTTTGTGATCCTACTCATAGTGGTGTGACTTTATGTCCTTTGTTTCAGGTAGAATAACTCCCTTGAGTATTTCCTGCATTGGAGGTTTTCTAGTAATAAAATGCCTCAACTTCTATACGTCTGGGAATATTCTTATTTCTCCTTCATATTTAAAGGATAAGTTTGCTGGATACATGCATGGTTGGTAATTTCTCGTTTTTAGATGTTTGAATATTTGGTTCCACTCTCTTCTGGCTTGTAGAGTTTCTGCTGAGAAGTTGGGTGACATTCTGATGGGTTTTCCTTTGTAGGTCACTTCCTTCTTTTTCCTGGATGCTTTGAGGACTTTTTCTATGTCATTAATTTTTGACATCTTCATTACCAAGTTCCTTGGAGAGGGCCTCTTTGGATTGAGGTAACTAGGTGCTCTGTTTGCTTCTTGGATTTGAGGATCTAGTTCTTTCCATTGATTTCAGAAGTTCTCACATACTAGTTGTTTGAATAGACTCTCCATTCCATACTCCCACTCTTCTTCCTCCACTATGCCAGTGATTCTGATGTTACTTTTTTTGATGGAATCAGAGAGGTCTCATAGAGCTCTTTCACATTTCTTTATTCTCAGGTTTCTCTCTTCTTCCCTCTGCATCCTTTCTTGATTCCTATCTTTGATATCACTAATTTTCCCCCTCTAATTGGTTGGTTCTGTTTTCTATGCTCAACAACTCACTCTTAAGTTCTTTAAATGCTTCATTTCCAGGATTTCTGATCGATTCTTTTTTAAAATTTCAATTTTCTTGCAAAAATACTTTTTTGTTCATTAATTTGTTTTCTCAATGCACTGAAATGCCTGTCAGCATTTTCTCGCATCTCATTGAGTATTTTCAGAACTGCAATCTTGAAATTTCTGTCATTCATATCATGTAATTCCATGTGCTCCAGCCTATTTTCTGGGGATTTTCATTTTCTTTCTGGTCATCATCTTTACCGTGGTTATTTATGATTTTCACTGTTTTTTGTTTTCCCATTTATCTCTGAGGTGGTCTTTCTACTCTGTTCCAGTAGATGGCATTGATTCACAAGATTTTTACCTTTGTGGCCTCACAGTTTTGAGCCTTCATGGCTTCCGTAGGGCTATACAGCCTTTGCTGCTTGGGGTGAGGTTTGTTTTTCCCTCATTGTAATGTGACCCCTGCTCTCCACAGATCCAGCCCAAGCACCCCTCCTGGAGTTCAGTCACAGAGGGAAACTTTCTACTGCAACAGCTCTGGGCCTACAGATAATACACTCCTGGAGCCAACTCTAAGGGCAAAGGGAAGTGAGTTTTGGGAGTCTAATTAGTGGCAGGGCTCTGTGATTCACTTTCTTTGTCTGAAAGACAACTGCCAGGCCCAGCAGTGGGGAGCAGCTCTGTAGGGTGGGCATCTGCCGACCCAGTTTTTGCTCCTGCCACTCAAGCATGCAATTCAGACCTTATTCACAGTGCGCCCATGGTTCAGACCCTGCCCTCTCTCATTGCCTGTGTGCGTATGACCACACAACTCTGCAACTCCAACAGACACTGTATGGGACATTAAAATAACTGGATAACTAATGGTCAAAAGTTTTTCAAATTTTATGAAAACAATAAACCTACACATTCAAAGCTCAACAGACCCAAAGGACAAGAATAAAACTACTACCAAGAAGCATCATTATTAAATTGCATAAAACCACTGCTAAATAAACACCTTAAAATCTTCCAGGAAAAAATGGAAACAATGCCTGTGAATAGACAGTGGAACGACATCTTTAACCTAACATTCTATATGAGTGACAATATCTTTCAAAAGCAAAGATAAAATAAAGGCTCTTTTAGACATAGAAAATCTGAAGGAATTAATCACTTAGCATACCCGAATTAAAAAGAAAAAATGTCAAAGATACTCTGTGAGGCAGAAGGAAAATTATACCAGATGGAAATCTAGATATAAACAAAAAAATGGAGAACACTATAATTATTAAGCACACTGGTAATTATATACCACATTGTCCTCAACTTCCTTAAAATATAAATGGAAAATCAAGAACCCTGGTAACAAAATATTGCAGGTTTAATAATATATGTCTAAGTAAAATATATGACAATAACAGCATGAAGGGTCTGAGTATAAAAATAAAAGTATAATTGACGTAAGGTTCTTATACTATATGTGAAATGGTTCCATTTGAAGGAAGACTGTGATAAGTCAGAGTTGTAAAATGTATCAAAGATAAACCAGTTAAATACCAAAACAAAATTATATAGAAAGGGAGATATAATGGAATCTCAGGAATATAATCAGTAATTCAAGAGAAGGCAAGAAAGAGGAAGAAAACAAAGAGTATATGGTAGAATTAGAAATCAAATAAATGCTAAATGGAAACCATAACAAAAATATAAATAATCACATTAACTGTAAATGGCCTGAAATACAAAATAGTATGAAATGTAACCTGTAACTGAAAAATTAAAAATGTAAATGGCCTGAACTCCTCAATTAAAAAGCAGCAAGAATCACATTGAATAAAGAGCATGCACTAACCAAATGTTTATATATGTATATAAAAGTATCCTTCAATTATAGACACAAATAGGTAAATAGCAAAAGAATGGGGAAAATATAACAGGCAAACATAAACTAAAGGAGAAGCAGAGTAACCAGTCTCTCCTATGGACCCTGGCACCAGGGCTGCCCATGGACCCTAGCACCTTGCCCAACCATATGCAGAGTCTGGCACCAGGACTACCTGCCTATGGATGCAAGTACCTGGCCCACACATAGAGCCTACTAGTTAGCTCATTTACGGATGCTGCCATCTGGCCTGCCCATGGTCCCCTTCAACTGACCTGCTCAGGACCTCTGGGCAGGGATAATAAAGGATTTGCCTTTGAAATAATACCTTATGCAAATGTTTGATCTGGATACTTGCCACCAAACCAGTTGGTTCAGCCTCAAAATATTTGCTCTGAGTTCTTCCATAGCCTTTCATGTCTTCCTCTTTCCTTCTAATTCCTGGACGGCCATACCAGTATGAACGCTACAAAGAAAGCCAAAATGTAATTACCAAAACATGCATTAAGAAATGAAACACTACATTTGAACAGATCTATACATGTAACGCACATGAATCAGTGATCAAAACCTCCCTACAAAGAAAAGTTGAGCAGATGGCTTCACTGGTGAACTATACCAAACATTTAAATAAGATTAACAACAATTTTTCCCCAAGTCTTCCAAAAAGTGTAAGAGGAGGAAACATTTTCTCACTCATTCTGTGAGCTCAGCATTACTCTGACACCAAAGCCAGGCAAAGGTATCATGAAGAAAGAAACTAGGGACCAATATCCCTTATCAATATAGATTAAAAAAAATCTTCAACCAAAAGCTAGCAAACTGAATCCCATAGCATAGCAAAATGATTATACATAATGATCAAGAGGGAATTATCCCAGGAATGCAGGTTCAACATATGAAAACCAATCAATGCAATATATTGCATTAATTGAACAAATGGAATAAACCATATAAGTATGGGAGATAGCAACATGAATGGGTTTGACAAAGGGTTTCATGATTAAAGACACTCAGGAAACTAGAAATAGAAGAGGACTTTCTCAAAATGACAAGGGCATATGTGAAAAACCCAAATCTAGTATCATACCCAATGGTGAAAGACTGAAAAGTTTTTCTTTAAAATCAGGAACAAGATAAGGATGTCTCCTTTTATTTCTGGTATTCACTGCTACACTAGTTTTAGCAATGAGGCAAGAAACAGAAATAAAGGGCATCCAAATTGGAAAGGAAGAAGTAAAACTATTAATATTTAAAGATGACAAAATACATATATTTCCACACATAGAAAAAGCCCAAAGAATCACCATTACACATACTACTAGAGCTAATAAACAAATTCAGCAAAGATACAGGCTACAAGATTAACATGCAAAAATCAATTGTGTTTTTATATACCACCAATGAACAATCAAAAAAAGAATATTAATAATTTCATTGCATCTGACAGAGTAAAATAGTCAGGAATAAAGTTAACCAAAGAAATAAAAGACTCACTAAAAACCTTGGTTAAAGAATTCAAAGACATATGAATAGAAAGTTCATGCCCTAGTTGGTTTGGCTCAGTGAATAGAGCGTCGGCCTGTGGACTGAAGGGTCCCAGGTTTGATTCCCACTCAGGGCACATGCCCGGGTTGTGGGCTCCATCCACAGTAGGGGGCCTGCAGGATTCTCTTTCATCATTGATGTTTCTATCTCCATTTCCCTTCCCTTCCCTTCTCTAAAATTAATAAAAATATATCTTAAAAAAGTTCATGAATTGAAATATTTTTCATATGGCAATAACATTTAAAGTAATCAACAGACTCATTATAATATTCATGAAAATTCCAGTGGCCATTTTTGCAGAAATAAAAAGCAGATCCTCAAGTTTATATGGAACTATAAGGGCCCTCTAATAGTCAAAACAAGCTTAAAAAAGAAGAGAAAGGTTGGAGGACTCATACTTTCAGATTTCAAAACTTATAATAGAGGAGAAACCAAGATGGCGGCATAGGTAAACACCGGAAATTGCTGCCTCCCACAACAACTTCAAAAATACAACGAAAAGACAAAACGGACATCATCCAGAACTACAGGAAGGCTGGCTGAGTGGAAATTCTACAACTAGAAGGAAAGAGAAAAGCACACTGAGAC